TGTGGTCTCTGTCTCAAAATACCTTATTGCCCTGTACCCACCCTTCTCTTTGTGATAACGTGGGGTGATAACAGGCCTACGTGATGGGATGAATGGGGTGAGTGACGTAGGCATTGTGTGACATAGCGTTAGGCTATTTACCTTCTGAAGATAGGTCGGGAGGACGATCATCTGCCTTCAGACCGCACTTGATGACCGCAGGTACCTGAAACAGTGGAAGGTGAAACCAGGGATAAAGGGGACTACTGTATGCACTTTCACGTCCTTGAACATGACTTCGCGTCAGCTTTAGCCCAATCAGAACCTTTTAGCCAGTGGTCTTCCTTTAGCTATAGGTGTCCTTTGCAAATGATGGTACATGTGTCATTGAGTAGGATGTGATCAGCCAACTAGAAGATAGTCACAGCATTTACTAGTAATCTACTCAAACTTGACATTTATCTCTAAGTGTGAATTTATTGTGAATTTCTCTAGACCCCGATGGGCATAACTTGGATATCTGTCATACTCATCTGTGATCACAAAACACATTCCTTAGTAATCTAGAATTCTGTTTCTCCTTATTATAAACACACACACACACACACACACATGCATACGTATACACATACATACAACATAGGAAAAATAAGTGCTTTTATGGCATGGAAATACAAATTAGCCATATTAAGGCTACTTCAAGTATCTATTTTTTTAGAGTTTTTATGTAAATTTCCAGTTAGTTAACCAGGAAACAGATGCTGGCGAGGTTGTGGAGAAATGGAATCCTCTTGCACTGCTGGTGGGAATGCAAACTGGTGCAGCCACTCTCGAAAACAGTGTGGAGGTTCCTAAAAAAATGAAAAATAGAACTACCCTACGACCCAACAATAGCACTGCTAGGAATTGACCCAAGGGATACAGGAGTGCTGATGCATAGGGGCACTTGTACCCCAACGTTTATAGCAGCACTTTCAACAATAGCCAAATTATGGAAAGAGCCTAAATGTCCATCAACTGATGAGTGGATAAAGAAGATGTGGTTTATATATCCAACGGAATACTACTTGGCAATGAGAGAGAATGAAATCCTGCCATTTGCAACAATGTGGATGGAACTGGAGGGTATTATGCTAAGTGAAATAAGTCAGTCAGAGAGAGACGGATATCGTATGTTTTCCCTCATATGAGGAACTTGAGAAACT